TCTCTTACATATATATATATATATTTATATTTATCACCTTCTTGGGCCTAAGAATATCTTATTTACGCTTGTATAACCTTAAGCCCTAAGCCCTAAACCTAAGAGTATCTTATTTTCGGATAATTTTCTCGGGCTTGTTTCACCCTAGACCCTAAACCTAAGAGTATCTTATTTACGAACAGCTTTTCAAAGGCGTGTATGAGGGCCTAAACCCTAAACCCTAAACCCTAAACCCCAACCCTAACCCAAAACCCTAAACCCTAAACCCTAAACCCAAACTAGGACATGAGCCGTCACGTACTCCTGAGCTCTAGCGACTCTGGCCCGCAGCCTACGCCCACAGCCCCAAACCCCACACTTTAGGGTTTAGGGTTTAGGGTTTAGGGTTATAATCCTAATCCTAACGCCTATAAACCCTGAACCCTAAAAGCCTGCGCAAAAGTGAACCCCTGAAACCCTGAAGCCATAAACCCCAAATCCTGCACCCCTCTATGTTCCGGGTGTAGGGTTTGGTTGAGGGTTTAGGCTTAAACCCTAAACCCCAAGCCTTACACCCCCTATTTCCAGCTCTGATATAGAAGCCTAAATCATTACCAATATTACTGTTAGGGCTCCTTATTACAATGATACTATAAAGGAGCTCAAACCCTATTCTAATTATTAAAACCCCTACATTATAGAACTTTTATAGTAACCCTTATAGAACCCTTTAAGGATCCCTTTAAAGGAACCCTATTCTAACTATTTCAGGCCCCTACACCCTAAACCCTTATGGTAGCCCTTATAGAGCCCTTTCAGGATCCGTTTAAAGGAACCTTATTCTAATTATTAAGGCCCCTACATTATAGAACCCTTATAGTAGTTTCAAGGAACCCTATTGTACTTATTTAAGGCCCCTACATTATAGAACCCTTATAGTAACCCTTATAGAGCCGGCTTTTGGGCCCAAAGACCATACTATATAAGGCTTTGGGGCTATCTTGAGCCCTACGGCTGATGGACAAAATCCTGCATGACCTTATATACCTAAACTATGGGATTTATGGTACTATACTATATTTGGGTCATGCAGAATTTTGCCCATCAACAGTAGGGCTAAGCAGGAGGCGAGTGTTGGCTACGAGGACGCCGAGGCGGTTCGACGCCTTGCTGGATTGCCAGGCGGATCGGATCTCGGGGTTTAGGGTTTAGGGAGATTTTAGGGCTTTAGGGCTTAGGGAGATGTTAGGGTTTAGGGGTTTAGGGTTTAGGGTTTGGGGAGATTTTAGGGTTTAGGGTTTAGGGTTTAGGGGTTCAGGGGTTAGGGTTTATGGAGATTTTAGGGCTTTAGGGTTTAGGGGTTAAGGGTTTAGGCTTTCGGCTTTGGGGTTTTTGAGGGTTTTTGGGGTTCTGGGGTTGAGCCGTTTCAGGGTTTTCGGCTCTGGGGTTTCCGGGCTGGGGGTTTAGGGTTTTTGGGTTGGTTAAGGGGGTTGGGAGGGTTTAGAGTTCAGGGGTCGCGTGCTTGGAATTCAGAACTTTGATTTCAGGGTACATTTTGGGGTTCAGAGATTTGGGTTTGGTTTTGAGGTTGTTCGCGGCGCTGGGTCTGCCGTATGGTGTCAGAGTTAGTGAGCTAGTTAGGAGGAGACGTCGTAGCAGCAGCAGTAGTAGACGTCGTCGTCATCGTCGTGTCCTCCTCGTCGTGTCGTCGTGGTCGTGGTCGTGGTAGCAGTGGTAGGGATATTGTAGGTTTCGGGGGAAGCACGGCTTCAAAGCACGACCCCGTAATCAACATCCCTATGTGGATAAGGCTCTGGGTCTCTCTGAGCATTGCGGAGGAACTGTGTTGTGGAGGAACTAGGGAAGCTTTGGCCAAGAGGATTTACCATGTCAGGGCGCTTCACCTGAGGCAAAGCTGTTTTCAAGTGTAGGGTTTACGGCTTAGGACGCGGGGTTTAGGACAAGCTACAGGGTTTAGGATTCTCATGAAAGTAAGCGATGCAAAGACGGGAAAGGTAATCTCGATGTGTTTGTTCTGCCCGTCCCCATTTTGATGTTGCACCCCCCAGCCCTCATCTCTATGTTCCAAAAACCCCTTACCCTAAACGCGAATTCGCAGGACCGAACTGCTGACTTGAATCCTTGAACCTACAAGCAACGAACCCTAAACAGAGAGCCTCCGGACAGAACCTGAGCGTCAGGCGCTGGCTTCGGCACATCAGAGGTTTGCACGAATGTCGTGAGAGTCAATCAGACGCACCTGCTCTGCGAGATGAAAGAGAGGTGGGCGCAGGGGTGGCTGGCCAGTTTAGGATTTACGGTTGTTTTTTAGTCAATTGTTGTGCGCGAGATATGACACTGGCTTTCGTAGCACGAGTGTGAAGTGGGGCTTGTGCGTGGGGTTGGGTGGGATGTATAGCGAACTCTATAGGACTGTTGGCGGCCGCGACTTTCGGCTGCCCTTTTGATCCTGTCATCCTGTTCCTGAATCAGCAAATACTGTTGATGAGATAATCCAGCACTACCTTAATGGGCCCTAAAGTATGTGAACTATTATATGGTATATTCCTTAGTATGGGTACCCTAAACCCTAAACCCTAAAGCCTAAACCCTAAACCCTCAACCCTAAACCCTAAACCCTAAACCCTAAAGCGTTATATCATCAACCGTAGTTGGCAACTTAGTTGGGTCAGCTCCCAGGATCCTTTTCAGAAAAATGACTGCAATCAAGGCTGTCTGTGCTTTAGGGTTTGGGGTTTAGGTTTTAGGGTTTAGGGTTTAGGATTTATGTCTTAGAATTTAGGGGTTTAGGGTTTAGGGGTTTAGGGTTTAGGGTTTAGGTTTTAGGGTTTAGGGTTTAGGGTTTATGTCTTAGAATTTAGGGGTTTACGCCGTACCACCTCAAACAAGCTGCACATTGACCTGGCTGCAACCACTTACTAACAGCCCCGAGAGACAGCAGCTGACACTTGGGTAGTTCTCCAATTTGGTTCTCTAAACCCTAAACCCTAAACCCTAAACCCTAAACCCTAAACCCTAAGGTCCCCAAATATAGTATGGCACCTTTTTGCAGAAGGACCCCAAAAGGGACCCCAAGTTAGAGAAGTACCCATATAGTACCCTTAAACGCACCCTGTGGAAACGCTTACAGATCCCTTTAAGGAACCCTAAAAAGGTACCATTATTTGGGACCTCTAAACCAGAATCACCCACTTCCAGGATTGACCTCACCGCCGCAAGATGCCGTGAGGCGACCTTGGGTTCGTCCCTATTATAGGGGCCTTCATAATTTGCCTAT